GGGGTCCCCGGGCCTGTGGCCGAGGCGCCCAGCTCCCTGGTGGCGGCGGCAGCCTCCGTGGCCGCGGCGGCCAGCGGCGAGCTGGGCTGGATGGCGGAGACGGCCGCCATCATCACGGACGCCTCCTTCCTGTCCGGCCTGAGCGCCTCCCTCTTGGAGCGGCGGACGGCCGGCCCCCTGAACCCCAGCGGGGGGCTACCCCGGGCCCCCCAGGACAGTGCTCCTCCGGGCGACTCCCCAGCACCTGATGTGGCGTCCCCGGCCGCGGCGGGGAGTGGGCCCAGCGCTGAGACTGTGGCCCCAGCGGACGCGCCCTCGGAGGTCGTCTCCTGAGCTTTGGGCAGCGGACCGCCTCTGTCTCTGACCACCCCGCCTGGCCAGCGTGACCTGGCTGGAGCCCTGGGGGTCGGGGAGGTTGTCCCCGGTGGCCCTGGGACTGCCCGGCCTGCCATGGGTGGTGTGGGGTCCATCACGTCTGCCGGAGGCGGGCTTCTCCCCGGGTGTGGGCTGCCCGGGGCCTGTCCCTGCTGTTTGTGGGGGCCCCATCCGTGAGGAGAGGCAGGCCGGTGAGCTGGGTAGGATGGGGGTTCCATGGAAGGTTCTGGAAGGGGGTGGTGGAAGGTCTGGAGCGAGCTGTCCCGGGGCAGAGCAGGGTGAACAGGAAGGGGCCCGCGCTGTTCCCGCCCCTCGGCTGGTGCTCCGTCGTGCGCAGTGCCTTTTCCGCGGCCCCCCCTCCGGGGCTGCGCCGGGCCGGGCCGGGGTGGAGCCGGGTCCAGCCCGCCCAGGGAGGGGCCGCGGCCGCACCCATCGCTCGCGAGGAAGGTGGAAGGACGCTCATTCCATTCTATTTAATTGCAGTGGACACAGTGGTGTTTGTACATAGAATAAACTGCTGACAGCGGCCCCGCCCGCGTCTCCGTGTGCGTCTGTGCGCGCGTGTGCATATGTGGGGACCGGAGGGGCCGGCGCCCCCGCTCCCGGGCGGGATGGGCTTCTGCGCAGGCGCGGGGTGTGGTCACCGCGGACGCGCGCCCCTGGTGGAGCCGCGTCGCCGTCACCGGGCGGCCCC